AAAAAATTCATTTAATACACTGTTTTTATTAAATTTAAAATAAAACAATGCATTAATTGCAATTTCTTTTCTTAAATATCACTTTAATTAGACTAATATTTCTTTAAAATAAAATCTATTGATTTTATTATCATATATATAATTGTATAAAATAAAAAAATAATTAAATGCAAATTTACACGATGACAAAAATGTATAGTCACACACGATCGTGAATGAGCATTATGTACCAATATTTTGTAGCAAAATTATATATTCTTTTACATGATATAATTTAAATACATAGGCCAAGTGCATAATAACTATCAAAATTTATATTTTGGTATAACTATTTGTTAAATGGTATATTAAACAACCCTAAAAAATATAATATTTAAAGACTATAAGCTACTTATTAATGTAATCAATTAATTGATTTTTAATTCTTTGTAAGAAAATATTCTTTTTTTGTGGGTAAAGAGATATGACTATATATATAGTTTAGTAACATCAATTGTTAGACTAAATAGTCCCAATCTAATTACACTAGCAGAAGCAAATCAAACAATCAATTAATCACATAAGAGACAGTAATTTAACGTTCTTTAGTCTAATTAACCTACGTCTACAGATGAGAAATAAGATTTACTAGTTATAGAGAATTACAAATATATATCAAAACTTATCAACCACTCAATCATCAATACCTATAGACCCTGTTAATCTCCTATAGTCCTATGGAGTATTCTCAACCCAAACAAATACATACCCATGTGCACCCTTTCAACATAACCAACCACATACCCATTAACCAACCACATACCCATATGCATCTATATATCATACCTATGTAGATCCTCTCAGTCTTTTCTAATCTATTTACAAATATTCAAACATATACACTCATAAGACGTAAATCTCTAATAGTCTTATGAGGTATCTATCATATAAAATCTTACAACTATCTTACATCTTTTTCTCATATCTAACCCTATAAAGACTTCACCTATTTATAACCATACAAACTTGCCTATTAAGAATTCATTTTCTCTTAGAATTCTTCTTCTACAAGTCAAACTTGCTTATTAAGAATCTCTTTTCTTTTAAAATTCTTTTTCTGTAAGTCTTCTTGTCAATCAAGTAATAACTAACAAATCTCAAATAAATTTTTTATGGGATTTGAGTCATTCTTCTAACAATCTCCACCTTGACTCAAATTCTATCAAATCATTTATCTTCATGCTAAACATACTTGGCTCCACCTACAATAGAAGTCTCATAATCATTTTCGCTTATGTGTCTTCATGCTTCACGCAAATTGATCCTCAATCTTCAAAACTTGAACTCAACTCTTCTATTAAATCGAGCTTCTCTAGACTTATCTCTTCTCATGTCTTGAACCATCAGCTTTGATACCACTTGTTGAAAATCATCACAGCTTTGATACTATTTGTTAGGCCAAATGGCCATAATCCAATTACACAAGTGGAAGCAAATCAAACAATCAATCAATCACATAAGAGATAGTAATTTAATGTGGTTCGATTCAACTAACCTACATCTATGGATGAGAAATAAGATCCACTAGTTGTAGAGAATTACAATCATATATAAAAATATATTAACCATTCAACCATCAATACCCATAGACCCTCTTAATCTCCTCTAATCCTATGGAGTATTCTCAACCCAAATAAATACATATCCATGTGCACCCTTTTAACACAACCAATCACATATCCATATGCACCCATACATCATACCTATGTAGACCCTCTCAGTCTTCTCTAGTCCAGTCACAAACATTCAAACATATACACCCTTAAGTAAATCTCCAATAGTCTTATGAGGTATCTATCCCATAAAATTCTACAACTCTCTTACATCTTTTTTTCATATCTAACCCTATAGAGACTTCACCAATTTATAACCATACAAACTTACTTATTAAGAGTCTCTTTTCTCTTATAATTCTTCTTTTGTAAGTCAAACTTGCCTATTAAGAATCATTTTTCTCTTAAAATTCTTCTTTTGCAAGTCTTATTGTCAATCAAGTAATATTTAACAAATCTCAAACAAATCTTTGGAATTTGAGTTATTATTCCTAACATCAATGTCTGTTAATATTAAAAGACTTATATTCTTTACATAATTTTAATTTTAGTAATTTATTAAAGTAAATAAACTAAAATACTTTTTAATTTAAATTAGCACAAATTAAGTACTTTTGAACGTTCATTTTACAAAATTAATTTTTTGCCAACACACACGAAACTTTAATTTGATTCAAATTTATTCACATTTTATTAGTTATTGAATGCTAAAATTTATCCTAAAAAGATACAAAAGATTTATTAAAATGAAATGAAAGTAATTTATTATTTACTGTAAAAAAACTTAATAATAAAGAATTATAATTAAATTAATAAAGATAAAAATGATATGCATGGTTTTGAAATTAAAAAAGTTATAAAAATTTAATGGTTAAAACAATTTTAAATTAATAGTAATTTATAAAAAATGATCTTCCATTCATTTTAACTTTGTTAACTTATGAAATTTTAAATATTTTTAAATTTTAAATAATAAAGATTTGGCATATTTTTTGTGTGCATCTTTTGAAATATAAATGAATTTAGAAATTATCAAAAAAATTTATATACGTAATATTATTTTTAAAATTTATATATATAATATCATTTTCAATCGCATAAATATTAAGATAGAGATTAAAAATAATTAAAAATTAAAAAAAAGCCATCGGACCAAACCAACGTTAGTATCACACCGCGCCCTCATCGTTGAGTGATGTTTGTTTGCACTGGTACCAGTAGTAGTAATAGTAGATGTATACATAAATTAAGTTTTGACCAAAAGATATAAATCTTATGTAAAACTCTAAATTAGAAATTGGAAATGAAGGATGTGGGGTGTGGGCTCCATTCAGTTTCCGTGCACAAAATTATGGATAAAGTTTATGAAGGGCCACTTAATTTATATCTAAATCCTATTTGAGTTATTGAACTTTAATTTACCATATTTAAGTTATTAAAATTTTTAAGTATATTAAAATTGATCATCTTAACAAATTTCATTCAAATTTTGATAAAAAAATTACATAATTATTATGTTATCACTTACATCATCTGCCACATCTGCTAATTAAATTTATATAATTTCATGAAAGATTATTAAACTTTCACTTAATTTCCAAATAATTATTTGAGTTTTAATTTGTTACTACAAGATTATTAAGTGTATCAAATTTAATAATTCTAATCAATTTTATCCAAAATAAAAAGTTAGATAAATTTTAAATATTGAATTCAACTAAACAACATCTAAATTTTTTATATAACTAAAAATCATTTTATACCAAAAAAAATCAAAAGAAAAAAAATTAAGTATACCCAGAGCTAACAATCACAAACTTTTAATAAATATTTATTTTTTTCTAAAGTATTATTGTTTTTATTTAAATTAAAGAGCATAAATATTTAAATAAAAGAAAAAAATCGTTATAATTTAGTTAAAGCAGTAATACTTCGAAAAAACAAAATTTTATTAAAGGTCTGTTAGCTTTGTATTTATTTGATTTTTTTTTTCTTTTAGTTTTATGTGAAGTACGAGAGGATTTTCGGTTACATAAAAAATCTAGCTATTATTTGATTGAGTTCAATATTTAGATTTTATCTAATTTTTATTTTTAGATAAAATTTATTAGATTGATCAAATTTGATATAATTAACAAATTTTAATGAATTTATACTAACAAATTAAAGTTCAATTACTTATTTAAATATTAAATGAAAGCTTAATGATTTTTCATTAAATTATATAGGTTTAATTAGCTAATGCGACAGCTGGCGTGGTTAATGACATGGCAACCATGTCATTTTTCTATTAAAGTTTGGATAAAATCTGTTAAAATTATCAATTTTGATATATTTATCAAAATTCAATGACTTAAATCAGATAAATTAAAATTTAGTGACCCCATTCTCAATTTTTAATTTAATTTATTGGAACGAACAAGGCGACCCTAAAGTTGCGTTTAGCCCTCTTACCCCGCAGTCAAGGGTTTGGACGTCATGTCACCAAACCTCTCTGTCAGGACGGGATGGCGGTACAAGCACGTCTTGCATTTGCTCCCCTCTGCGCCTTTGTTTTCCTTTCAAAACTATAAATAAATATTAGTAACAATAAAATAGAGAATAAAAAGTTTAAAAAAAATGTTTGGTTCGAAAGAATTCAAATATATTTTTTAAAATTTTATTATTAAATATTTGATTTTAACATTTAATTTAAAATAATTTAATTTTAAAAAAATTAATAGATTTTAAACGATATTCAAAATTTTAAAATAAAAAATTCACTTTTTTCTCATAATATTTTAAGTTTTTGAGAAAAAATAATGTTATTTTTAAGTTTAATTTGATTAAAAAATTATAAAAATAGTCATTAATAGTTTAAAAAATATATTTAAAAATAAATGTAAGTCAACTATAAATTTTTGTTAATAAAAAATTTAATTTATATATAATATTTGATATAAAAAATAATTGTAATAATTTTTTATAAAAATTAAATGAAATTATTTAAGACAAAAATAGAGACAGATTGGATTTTAGTCGCATATGAGTTTGTGTCATGTAAAATATTTTAAAAGAGTAGATAAAATACTTTAATTTTATATCAAATATAAAAAAAATCACTAAAATATAAATGGATTTACATCATTTATTTTTTATGAGATGGTTTTTATAGGATAAAATAAATCATAAAATTAAAAATAATAGATGTAAATGATAATAATTAGATTGATTTATATATCAAATGAATGCATGCTCTAATCTTAAAAGTCTTTTTTCTGGTTGTTGGCTTTGGCTGCCTTTCTATTCTCCTTCTTTGAAAACAGCCTTTTGCTTCTTTTTCTATTAAGAGATCGAAAGTCTCTCTCTGTGTATTCAAAGAATCAAAAGGAGAAGACGGAGAAGCGAAGAGGTAGAACATGATTGCCTTTCCTTCATATTCAAAGTCCTTAATTTGTTCCATTTCTTTTTTTTTCTACCTCCACGAATTCTCTTTTTCACCACACACACAATTTGATCTTTATCTATTTAATTCTTACACATTATTCCTTTAAAAAAAAATCCTTGGCAAATAAGGATTGTTGTTTTAATCGATTTTCTTGATATATATAAATATATATACTATATAGTATAAAAGACTGATGACTCGATCATTCTGCTTTCCAAGAAAATTTTGGTAAATGGTGGCTTGAAAAGGATGGACAAGTGTTTATGAAATCTTCAATTCGCTTTTGTTTTGTTTTGTTTTTTGGTTTCCTTTGTCTGCTCTGCTTTTAAGTTTAACTTGGTTTTGAAGGGTGATCGGCTTTTTCCACCCTTAAATCACGGACAAAGTCTCTTTTATTTTTAGAAAAGAAGAAATGAAAAAAAAAAAAAATGATTGTGTGGAGAATAATTCAAACAAAACATCGGCCTTTGAAAACCAAAGAGACAGACCGACTTTTGTTGGGATCGAATACAATACCAGCGCGTGTGACCAACTAACCTCCTTTTGTTTTGCTGCTTTTTTCTTATTCACTTTTCTTATTTATTTATTTACTTTTTGTTTTGAGAAAACACCCAAAGGCTCTCTCTGTGTACATGTTTGATCCTTTGGTAACAAAGGTATTTCATTCTTTTATGTCGTTCTCCCTCTTTTCTGTGTGTTCTCAAGTATCTATCTATCTTACTGGTTCAATTAAGTTTTCTGGTTTTTTTTTTTTTTTTGTTGGGATTTTGGCATCTCTTTTGCGAATGTTCCTGTTTGAAATTCATAACTCTATCATGCAATTCAAGCATAATTTGTTTTTGATAGAAGGCAAATTTAAAATTTATCTTTTTGTGATTAAGCTGAGTAGATTGTAAAATAGAAATTTCTTTCTAACTTGGATTTAGGACTAAGTTCTGCAAATTTTCCTTGTTAATGGGTTCTTTTTCCTTTTGCTCTAGGAGTTTGGGGGGGGGGGGGGGGGGGGGGGGGGTGTTGTAGCTTACATCAATACAGATTATATTACATTTAAAACAGATTGCAAAACCCTACCTTTATGGTTCCAAAATTGAGTATCCTTTATCTATTTCTGCTAGTGACTGTCTTTTGGGGATTTCTTGAACTTAATGGGCAATTGCATTGCTGATTGATTGGTTATGAGTGTCTTAATGGAGCACAAAATCATTACTTGGTTAAGTTATAAACATTCAAAGTAAATAATTTGAAGGTACTAAATGTGGTTTTTGTGTGGAAAAGGCCTAGTGATATTTGAGGTTGGATTAATGTATGAACATCTGTGCTCTTCTATCAATTTCATGGTTGTATCTATTATGTTAGTGTTGGAAGGAAGTTACCGTGCTTTGGGAACTTAACAAAATGTTTATTTTTATAACTTTTAATTTTGTATAGACATTGTTGTTGTTGGCAATGTGGTTGAGCTCCTGTTAATGGAATGGCTAAAGAGGCAATTTTTTTAATTATTATCTTATGTTCAATGAATTGTGACAGGCTCCTGCAGTATACATGCTGTGTCTGTTTGCAATTATGGTTTTAAGTTTTTTCTTTCCCCTCCTCAGCTAAATTTATGTTATGGTGGAGGATTTCTGTCATTACTATATGATACATTTATTTTGATATTTTTCCAGATATTAAGGATACTTGTTACCTAGATGGATGGATATACTGGTAAAGGAGCTGTTGATGGGCTTGTTATACATGTCAAGGGATCAGGTCTCATCTTGAAGGATCAAGTTAATAACAGAGAACAAAATTCTCAATTTTGCAACCGAATTGGATGCAGTGGCAGGCTGAAATCCATGAAAGGTACTCCAAATGGCTGCTCAGAAAAGTTTAAATCTTTGAGTCCTTACCGCACTTCATCAAGTGGAAGGCAAATGATTGGAAGTTCCTCTAGGGCATACTCTGCAGTTAGCAACACTAGAAAATCCTCTACAAGTCCTCAGAAAAAGCTATCATCTCAGCTGGAAAGAGATTCATCTGAAACTAATAGTGTTCAGGATGAACCACAAGTGTCAGAGCTCATACATCCACCAGGAAAGATTCAAAGAGGGCTGCAGTCTGAATCTGAAGATGCTGATTCTAGGGAACTAACAGTAATGGAAGTGGGAAGCACTAGTGTAGCATCAAACATAAGACCAAGGAGAAACTTTATTCAGAGATCTGGGTTAGACAACCATTACACTCTTGCCAGTCCGTCTACTTTGGCATGTCAAAGTGCTTCCCAGGCAACTCATGCTAACACAAGCAGGTACGGTTTGAGAAATCTAAGATGTAACTCTATTTCTGATGTCCTGTCTGGTTGTTCATCATCGGATTCAAGCCTCGGTAGAAGGAAAGATACAGTAAAAAAGAGAAACTCTGATGGAGTGGGCAGTTCCTTGATCAGGGGAAAGAAGTTGATTGGGTCATCTTTGGAGGGACATAACAACAGTTCTAGCCATGGTGTTTCTATTTCTGACTCAAGGCAAGCCAGAAATTGGTCTCCTAACAGGGATATTGGAGTTGTTTCGTCAGTCAGGACTCGGAAATCCAGCAGCAGTTATGGTAGATGGAGACTCCCTAATGAAGCAAATGGAAATAGTTTAACTTTGGACGAGTCCCCCATAGTCATGCCACAAGTTTCTCAATCTGATATACCTGTCGATTTGATTGATCCTGTTTCCACAGAAACTGCCTCAACTCATTCTAGTTCTTACAGTGGACCAGGTATTACATGTGAGAGTTCACGCAGTATCATGCCTTCTAGTCCTTCAGAAGTTGGCTTTAACCACACTTCAGTGAACCAGGATAGCTTCCGGTGCTACAATATGGATGGCATTGCGGAGGTATATTAACTGGATATTTCAACCTGCATTGTCTTATGCACGGATTTATAACTTTCTCATTCTTCATTTTTTCTTTCTATGGAACCAAGGGTAGGGACTGAGTGGGGTTGCAAATATGTTTTACCCATTAATATCTCAAATCATCTGGTGTTACAGTACTCTCCATGGAGAGGCAAAATTGAACCATTAGTAGTTTGTTTACAGTATTGTTGAATTACCGAAGCTTCATCTCTTACTGTTGTTTTATATTTATGCAGGTATTATTAGCACTTGAGAGGATTGAACAAGATGAAGAGTTAACATATGGGGTAACTAGTTTTGAAGTGTCCCTTTTTGCCTGATTGTTCTTTGTTGTTGATTCTGTTTTTGTCTTGCAGCAATTACTTGTTCTAGAGACCGGCTTGTTCCTTAATGGCCTAAACTTTTATGACCGGTATAGAGACATGAGACTGGATATAGATAATATGTCATATGAGGTTTGTTTTTGTTTCGTTACGATGGTGCAAAGTTTGTATTTTATTTTCCCCACTCTATGCTTGCCGTTAAAGATAAATTATGGAATTAGCATTTCTCCTGCTATCGTGACAGGAATTACTAGCTCTAGAAGAGAGGATGGGTACTGTGAGCACTGCGCTATCAGAAGAAGCATTGTCAAAATGCCTTAAAAAAAGCATCTATGATGCAACGTCTTCAGAGGATGAAAATGTTAGCTGTGATGGTAAAAAGGATGATGTCAAATGTAGTATATGTCAGGTCCTTTTCTATAGAACTACCCGCTTTATCAATGTAGACTGTATGCTGTTTATCTTCCTCTGGTCATCTATGGATGTGACTGCAACGGCTTCTCGTCTGGTTTCAGTTGAACTTAATAGAATTCATTGATTTGCCTTCTGCAGGAAGAATACGTCATTGGAGGTGAAGTAGGGAGGTTGCAGTGTGAGCATAGGTATCACGTGGTGTGCATACAGCAGTGGCTGTTGGTGAAGAATTGGTGCCCTATTTGCAAAGCATCAGCAGAAACGACGCAGTCTTCTTCGCTCACCTCATAATTGAGTTGAATTTGAATAGAAAGCAAGAGACTTAGTTTTCTTTTGTACAAATTGGTGGCTTATCTTCAGCATTTTTAAAAAAAAAATTTTATGATCCTATTTAAATATCAAATCCCTTTCATGTTTGTCAACTAATAAACCAGATGCTCTTGGCCCTTCACTGGAACTCATTCACCCATAAAAGAAATGTGAATCAAAATACACATGTTACCGCTGTTCTTTGAGCGTGATCAGATTTTTCCTCTCTTTCTTGGTTAATGTGAGTTAGGTGTTTGATGAACTTATTTTTTTCCATTCTTAATGGCTGGCAAAACCAAGGTCCTTTTCTTTTGTGGTTCTCTCAGACCGGTAGATGCTATTGGTATTTGCTGATAAACGGCGATAGAGGATCTTATGTGATAGTAACAGCTATGAGCTTTATTCCCCCATTTTCCGCTGTAATAAGTTATGCCAAATTCTGCATAAATTCTCGGTCATACAATTAAACTCAATCCTCTGCTTGCTTCTAATTCTATTTTGGACTTGGGAATGGGAGGCACTCCCAGGAGTAATGCAAAGGCTTTTGATACTCTTATGGTGGCACCTACTTGTTCCTTTCTAAACCTCTAAGCTATGCGTGCCTTTCGTTTTCACTGGTTTTACGGTTCATTTTTCAGCTTTTGATTTGGTTACAACAGGAGGAGGTATGGGGTTACATCAAATTGAAATAATGGAGGAGGGCATACAAAATTTAACGAGAGCTCCAAAAATAGACACCTTTGTCTATGAGGTATAACAGTCTCTGTTCTGTAATTAACGTTGTCCGTAACCGCAGGTCTCCAAGGTCAATAAGGACTTGGATTAACTTAGTTATTGACATTCTGAAACGTACAACGCAGACAAAAGGAGATTCCCTTGTTACAAATACAAACGAATTCAGGAAATAAATTCTACTGAAAGTACAATTATATTGTGGTTGATGATGCTGGCATCAATTATCGTTCTCTAATATTGATATGCCAGTATTTAGCCATGCAGTAGAAGCAGACAGCCAGCTCAAGTTAATACCATTCCCTTCATATGTTTAAACTCTGAAATTAAGTTTCAGTCCTTCGAATCCCCAAAACTTCGAAGATTCAAGTTTGATTATAAATAAATGTAATGTGTTAGGTTCCCGAATAAAGCATGCAACCTTTGATCAAAGAAGGAAATGAGAAAACGATACAGATGCGTGCAGAAAGACGTGAAAACAATACCTTCATCAGTATTCCAAACCAATATTATTATTATAATAGAAAAATCTAAAAAATCTTTTGCCATGGAAGAACATGGCTAACAAGTAGCCCAGCATACAGAAGAGGAAATGGATATGGGCATTTCTTTAAAATTAACCTTGTTTTTTTTTTTTTTTTTGGCAAGAAATGATACAGGTTGGCACAGAAGAAATATTGTAACAACAGGTACACAAGATTTCCAGGTTCCTCATGCTATAGAACATTATAATTTCATTGCTCTACCCAAGCATTGCCCTTTCAAACGGTAACATCGATGATGCTCAAACCCTCAAGACCATCTTGATGGTCTAATTTGGGTCCTCCCGACAGTTGATCAAAGTTTGGGAGCGTTGATATTTGATAATGTCCAACATAAGTCCTCATGATTATGCCTCAGAATTAGAAAGGTTGTCTCCCCTACCATCTCGGTACATAAATATCAGGTGATTTCACACTATAAAAAAATCATTCACGACTTCATCAACTGAACCTCAATACCAGCCGCATGGTCCAGAATCTTCAAATAGATGAAATGGCTAACGAGGTTAATGCTGATTGTAGAAAACAAGACAATGGAGACCAAGATAACTGAATTTTGCCGAGACATGGTTAACCTCCTTTGCAGCTTCAGCAGAACTTTTAAGTATAAATTTTTACATTTAGGGGCAAAAGGCAAACAACAAATTCATTGATATTGCAATAAGTTTCATTACTTTTCTTATCAAGCTCATGCCTCATCTCTGCTCATCTTCACAAGTGATGTAAGTATCTCCATAATATGAATTGGCCAATCCCTACAGCTTAATAATGTTCAATAACAGCTGCCTAATTGACATTTGCCCCTACCTCAAACACACAATCAGGCAACTCATACGTTAAAAAGTAATAGATTATCATCTCTTTAACAAGTTTCGAGAATAAACAAATGAAATAGTGAAAAAAAATTAAAAATAATTGAAGTAGATACCATCACCAACTTTTGCACATCTAATAGTTACAGTGTCATAATGCGGATAAAACTGCGAACACAGTTTTTCAGATTATGATATACTGAGTAACAAAAATGTAATAATGTAAAGTGAAGGGGTGAAAGTTACAAATCTAATTATCTAAAAACATAGAAAGAAAAAAAAAAAAATTCCAAAAACAATTATATTGAAAACCTGCTCATAAATTAAAGGACAACTCAACAAAACATAGCGTTTCTTTGAATGCATGTTATCAATTACAAGAAAAGTTATAGTGCAAAATTAATGTTCCAATACCTACAGCAGAGTGAAGTCAAAGAAATGCTAAGCGCTAGCAAGCGTGCCTACTCCTACTGAATAGGAAAAGGCTGTTGGTACAGAATTTTTGTCATCCAACTTATACTTAATTTAGTCACAGGCAATCCTGTTCATCTACAACGGCCCTTTTCCTGTTCCAGATAGTCTGACCTCAGAATGCAGATTGGATGGTTTAATCCCCAGAATACTTGTAGAAAAATGTAAGCATTCTGCAGACAAACCTAGCATGATGGTTTTGATGGGGCCAAAATATCCCCACTTACAGAGCTTAAGATCAAAACTAACAACTGCTTCACATTTGTAAGCTCAGAATAAGCAACTCATGACCAAGTCACTCAACGAGCAATATGGTAGTTTCAAAATCAACTGATGCTAAATGGAATTAAAAAAAGGGGCAACTTCATACATATCCAATCAACAATCAAGAACAGTAGATTAAGCATTACGAAAAACTGTATGCCGCCAAATCTTTTAAATGACAATTAATTACAATTAGCAAGTCACAAACTCCACAAGAACATAGCATCAGAGCTTAGCAAGTAGATTTTTCAGGGGTCATCCAGCAGAAACATCTAAACATAAACCACCATAGACAATTTAATGGATGCCAATTTGTTATTAATATTGGAACTCAAATCAATTCTCAGATTTTAAAATTACATAAAGAGCAATGCTGCAGCCCTTACATAAAGTAATTTTACCTTTCACCATGCTACAAAACGGTATCACTGCAAAACTTTCTTAGATTTCCTCCTCATTGGATGTAAATTACAAGAAAAGACTGAGATCTGTTGAGATGGCAGAATACAGCCAATGACAATGCTAATCGTACAACAGAGCAACCAGCTTAAGCACTTCCTTCTCAAGCACCTTAACTCAGTTGCTCAAAAATAATTTTTTGATCCATCCCTGCTCTGCAGCAGGGGCAAAGGCATTCCCACTCTCAAACCCATAATTTCATCTTGAAAGGGACAGAGCTTTATTGGACTAGGCACCATCTGGTTCATATCAGTAATGGAAAAGAACTGGGAGCTTCAATGAGTGATCATCATTTGTCAAGCACATTGAACCAGAACAGATCTAATCACAGCTTCAGGATAAGCAAATTATTGTAGGGTATTCATTCTTCAAACGAATGCAAACAAATTTTTTCCAGCAGCAATGGCCAATCTTCACCAAGCTGCTGGGGATTTAGCTCCATTGCCACTTTGAAATCAAGCAAAGATACTGAGCACCGCTGCCTCTGTTCCAGCAAAACTTCTGTGGGCCCAGAGCTACTCTGCATATGCAAGTGATTACTTGGCCATATACCATTAATATACTTGCCTTGAGGCTGCTGCTTGTGGGGAGATTGCTTTCTCAATTCATGTGTAGACCTTGACCCCACCAGATCAACACATGATCTAACCAGTTTCTTCAAGTATACATCCAACATGTTATTCAACATACTAGCACATTCCACAGAAACACCACCAAGGCCCTGCACTGCTGCAATCTGCTCCATACGTTTCTTCAATATCTCAGTATCATACAAACTGCCACTGTCATAGTAGCTAATGAAGTCGCCGTTGCCTGCCACTGGCAGAGCTTTGTTGGCCCCACCAACACTAGCTGAGCAAAATGGAATCCCAAGTGGTGCAAGCAGAGGACTTCTAGAGAGATTAATGTGGTTAGCTTGCTCCACCTCCTCCCCATCTTCAATAATGGCTCCTTCAGTCTGATCTTTACTAGGCACCCTTGGTTTTTCTGTGGATCGCACCAAAACTTCTCTTTCAATTTCGGACTGCTCAGCAACTGCTTGAAGATGTTGCAATGGTCTCTGATAATCATATGGAGTCAAATCCCCATTTTCCATACACAATTTATTGCCATTATCTTCCTTACCCATCGATTGATGTGAGACACTCTCACCTTTTCCATTTGGCCCCAGCGGGCTGGGCCTATCCCTGAGTTTTCTATCCCGTATTCCAGACCTAACCTTTCGTGGGGATGACACTGGCAAAATCCCATTTGACCAAATAGCCATATTTGGATTCTGGTTGGGAACAAGGAATCCAGTTGGTTCATGTCCATCTTCTCTTCTAGGAGAACTTTTCACAGTTTGTATCAAAGATTTCGTGGGACCCGCTTCATGAACTGGTGGCAGAATCTTAGCCTGAAATGCATTTTTCAAGATTGAACGTATCAACTGATTATGCAGTGGCAGATTATCCCTTCCCATAATGCGGTAACATGACTTATCGAACTCACTTTTACTAAGCTTCTGACTTAAAAACCTACTCAAATTATAAAAATACCTTTTTGACCTCTCAGCTCCAATCTTCTTCACTATCTGAGATTTCAATTCACCTAAATCGATTCTGGAACACTGCTGGGTTTGCATTGCTCAATAAGCGGATTCCTACACCATTCACAAAACTACAAAACCATTGAAACCTGTTTCCACCCCAATTTACGGCTTTCTCCAACACCAAACAAATCCAAATTCAAAAATCGCATACCATATAATGCAAATCAAACTCTCAACCTCTGCATATTGAGAGTAAAACAGCAAACGCGAGATCCTAGAGGAAAAGAAATTAAAAACTCAGAATTCCCAAGGTAGATAGAGTTATTTCAGTTTCCAAACATCCCTAAATTGACCCACCGAAAACCAATACAATGCAAACCCAAATCTCATATTGGCAGAAACAAAACCCTAGGGATCAAGCTCCACTTGAGTGGTAAATAGAAACCCCACTAAACTAAAGCCGAATGCAAAGAACAAATCAAAACCCTAGAGTTGGAATCACTGAACTTGAAAGAAAGAACAGCACGTCGTCTCAAGCGGAACGGCACGAACCGAAAATAAAAGTCACTGCAGCAATTAAAACAACAAAGGCATATTTTTACACGCAATAAAAAAAAATAAAAAGTTGGGAATTGGAAAATTGAAGTTGAAGGAAAGAGATCAGTGGAGTTGGAAAGATAGGAGTTGAGAATAGAGCAAGAATTGCATAGCAAAAAGCACAATGAAGAGCGAAAAAGAAGCCCCAGAGTAATGAAAACAAAAAGGTTAAAAGATTGATAGAGGGCTGACCTTAGACAACTTGCCTGACCAATTGCAGAGAAATCGAACGACACTCAGTTGTTGGTTGGGGTTGGATTGTTAGCATCCTCGATTCATTTTTGCTCCATCTCTCGATTTTTTATTTCCTTCCTTTTATTTTAATATATAATTTTGTGTGTCTATTTAGAGCGCCCTTTTTCATTTCGAGCTTTCCCTTCCTCTTGATTTGCTATTATTTCAGCTTCGCTTTGTTGTGTTAGCTCAACCGCTCGCTCGTTCGCTTGCTGCTGTTACTTCAGTTTTTTTTTTCTTTCTCACTTTTTCATTTTTATAGCATTTCGTATCGTTTTCGACCAAAATTATCCTGGCGGTAATTTTATTATTAAAATAATTTTATTGTTCTGTGATTTATTTACTAATAATTATTAATTTTAAAGAATTAAAGATTATATTTTTAGATTATTAGAAGCCAAATATTATTTTATTTGAGTGTATGAAAATAATCATACATATGATAATAATAACAAAAATAACTATTCATATTATAATAGTTACATAAATTAATGATTTTAATATTATTTAAAAATAATAATTTATAAAATATCAATAATATTTTATTTACTTTATTTAAAAATATAATTAAATTATTAAATTAATACATATATTTATTCATTCATGGATACACTACTTTTATAATACAAATTATGTAAAAAATTGTATTATATATAAAACATTAAAAAAGTTAAAAGAAAACATACAAATTATTTTTGAACTTATTATAAAAAATATCAATTTGAAAATATAAAAATTTATAATATTAAATAATTATATTTCAAAATTTTTTTTTAATTCACATGTTAAATGTATAATATTGACTATCGTTAATTTTATATATCACTTCATATCAACATTAAAAGTTTCTCATTTTGGATAGGATTAGATCACCTTTAAATGTAGTGATTTTATTATTCTTAATATTTCAATATCATCACCATGTAAAATTATTGAATACTTGTTGTTGTAGATATTTTGGACTTTAAGGGTAAAATAGTTTTCTACTAACTCGAAGATATTTTGAGGCTTATAGGGTATTTTAGTCTTTGGCCAACCTAGCGTGGCAAAACCATTAAGTGAGAAACTTATCTCATGCTCGATCGAGATTCTTGAAATTACATCTCCTAAGATGCTGATATGGACAACCACATCACATTTCACCTATTCCATTTGACCATAAATACATTACACTTAAATATTGGTCATGGCAAAGCCATGCTGGTTAGACCTACTACATATCAAGTCAAACTCAACTACGTTAGCTTAAGTATAAATACCTAATTTTCTCTTCTAGGTAACTCTAAGCCACTTATTTCTCTCATTTTCTTTGATTCCTTCCTTATTCTTGTTTAATCTATTCTCTTTCAATCCATTAACTTGAGTGTCAGAGCAAAAACATTGAAATCATTTCCAACCTTAGTTTTTTTTATCGTTGTTCTTTCTTTCTGGAGTTTACCCTAAATCCATTTCAGTACAAACCTAAGCTTGACTAGTATAGCTTCACAATATACCCACATTTTATTATTACCTTGGTATTGGGTAACTTTATCAAAAAGGTTAAAATGCTCAATCGTATATTAGAAATGAAGATAAAAAATATTATGGAGCTTCTCCAAATGCAAAGGTGAGCACAAGTTAGGTCACATCTTAAAGCACAAAATTAGCCTTCAAAGATTTCATAATATCTAAAGTGTTGGAGTAAAAGTAAAGGGGATTGCCAACTTAAGGAAGATAGGAGATAACCTCAGCATCTTGAACTATTGCACTAGAAATAACCTTGGCATTTTTAACTGTTGCACTAGGAATAACCTTGGCATCCTATTTTGTTGCATTGGTAATGCATAAACTAACATCTATCACTCTTAAAAGAGGATTAGGTAATACCTTGAGGTTTTTAATAGTTATACCTTAGGCTCATATGCTAGCATATAAACTTTCTTACTCTTCTAAAGGCATAGGTTACTTACGAAGAGACTTTAACTTTTCACCATTAATATTAATTTCATAGATAAATGCCTCATTATTAGAGGCCTTAGCCATTTCGATAGCCACCACTGTGGCTACCTTAGTACCAAAATTCATTTGACTCCTATCGAGTCTTTATTATCTCACCTAGGTTCATCTAATTTGGGAATAGAAAAAAAAGAAACAAAACTATTTGAAATAGACATGATTGCCAAAAAGAAAGGAAGATGTACTTAAATAGAAGGAAAGATAAGAAAAACTTGAAAGACTAAGTGAAGTGCTTGAATGGAAAAGGTAATTCCCTCTTCAAAGCTAAGAACGTAAAAAAATGAAGAAGAAAGCTCTTAAGTTTTTTAGAAACTCTAAAGCTAAAATGTGACAAAAAAATCATGGTGAGGAAATTTATAGCAAAAAATAAATAAAAAGGGAAAGAGGCAAACTTACCGAGATTTTACCACTTCTTAACACATGGTAACATAAAGACCTTTCGTCTTCCCATTCTAAAAAATGTCATTTTACTTTTTTTTATCCTCAATAAATGAAACTAATGTATCTCGAGACTTTCTCTATTTAGTAAATAAGGTTAAGCCACTTTGACATCAAGAGTACCATTAATCATGATAGGTAATTAACTTAGGTAGGATTACCTTATAAGTCAACCACCTTATAATGAACCTTAACAAGTTACCTTAGTAAGCAATCAATCTACATTAGATCAACCTTGAATGAATTTACAGTAGCTTGGTTATTCACGAACTCAATGTATCTAAAAATAGGTTTATTAGGTATTGTCTAGACACAAGTTTGAATTTGGTCAAGGTAAGTTAAATATGTTGACATGACTTATCGACCTATGCATGTCAAGGTAAAACTTTCCTGCACATTTTGTGTATAGTAAACTACCTTAGCATGTAACTATTTCATATCAAATTAGTCTTGAAAGAATTAGTTAAGGGCATTTTATAGTCAAAAGGGCATGATGGACCCTTCCAGTAAGAGAGTTACTCATCATCAAACTAGAGTTATTTTGGTAATTAGGTTTGAGTTAACGTGGTAGATCGACTCGATTCTCGAGTCCATGTCAGCTCAACTTGCATGACATCCCACCTAACAACATGTGAATATGCTGATTTATCATTCAACCTTTAGACTTTCCCTTACCATACAGATCGGGTTAACCTTGTTAGCCTTAAACTTGACTCTTAGAGCTCAAATCACCCAGATTTAGACATCTTCCCTTTTAAATAAATATATCCCTTCTCATTTTAGGTTTAGGGATCCCAATAAACATCATATTCCCAATTTCTCATTTCAACCATAGAGTTAACTCTTTGCCTTTTTACTGACCTTGTACATATGGTTTTAAGTTTTTACCCTTCTTGTCAAGCTTAGCACTAAAACTTTTTGGCATGCCAAGTAAGAAGAAATCACTTAGCTGAGCTTATAATGCCTCCAAAGAAGAGAGTCAATGAAGAAGGAGATAATCATGCTATAGTTGAGATCGACACTAAGCTTAACCAACCCAATTAGAATTGATCTATGCAAGCCACACTCACAATGAAATATTTTAAAGCTCTAACACAACAACTATAATCGCTCAAAGAACTTATTCAAAACATAATACCTCCCAAAATTTCTAAGGAACTAATAGCCATTGCCCCATGAAACCTTTAAAAACAAAAGCTAACCAACAATGATAGTGCGATTGGTTATTGGCCCTAAAAGAAAATGAAACTTTAAAGAGTTATTATCCCAATAACACCCAAGCCTAAACCACCCAAAAATCCAACCAAGCCACTTTGAAACAACAAACAAACATAGATTTAAAAGCTCAAAGGGAGGCCATGAAAAATGAATTCAAAAACAAAACCTCTGTATTTGATGATGAGCTTAAGCTCATAGAGACCTTACCTTTTACAGAGGAAATAGACCAAGCTCTCTCATAAAGGGCTTCAAGATGCCTCATATTATTGAAACTTACGATGGCATTACTAACCCCTTTAGTTATCTTGAACTTTTTAGGACAAACATGCTGATACATAAGGCTGATGAACCATTGATATACAAAAGATTATAATAACATTTAAAGAGGTGGTTCGATCTTGGTATTCCACTATTGAGCAACGTTAATCTTTTTTTTTCAAATAGTTTGGTCACTCATTCTTTACACACTTTATAAATAGTCATTGGACAAAGAAAACAACTTTATGCTTGATGTTTGTCAAACAAGATCAAGGAGAATATTTGAAAGCATACATTTTAATGCTAAGGTTTTTCAAGTCAAAGACTTATAGCAAGTTATGGCTATTGCTGCCTTAACAAGTGGGCTTGACAACAAAGAATTTCAAGCTATTTCACTTTCTCTAGGATGCTTAAAAACTTTAACTTACCTATTTCTAAGAACAGAGAAATACATCAATGTAAAAGCTATAATAAGAAGTAGTCCACGTAAGAAAAGACATCCCCCCACCTCGACAAGAAAAAAAGGGCAAAGAAATTGAAAATTCCATGAGAGGGAATAAATTTACTGAATGGTACCTTAAGGTAAGAAGCTTAAGCAAAAGATACAATAATTATACTACACTTAATACCTCTAAAGAAAGAATTTTAATGTAAATAGAAAAGGACCTTAAGATCAGATCTAGAGAAAAAGATTTTGATGTAAATAGAAAATAACCCTAAGATCAAATGTCCTAAGTTATTGAGATGGAATAACAGATAAGATCCAACCAAGAGGTATGATTTCCATAGAGACCAAGGCTACAACATTAAAGATTGTATTGACTTGATGAATGGGATTAAGAACTTGATCAAAAGAGGTCAGCTGAAATAGATTTGTGGATAACAAAAGACCAGGGCAGAACAAAATGAATTGACTAAAAAATAACTAAAAAAGAATTAAGAGAACATGATAATAGGTGATGACTGAAGCAACATTGATCATAGGCCTGCCTAAAGAGGCAAACAAGAAGATGATATAGATACCAGCCCATTACGAAAGACAATCAATGTAATTACTAGTGGGACCTTGGCATCAGCCAAAAAGAAGTTTGATTTAGGAATAGTGATGGCATTGGATCCATAATCGAGAAGTAGAAATGTTGGATAAGTTGATCTCATTTAGCTCAAAAAATCTAGATGAAATTCAATTTCCCTATAATGATACCATAGTTATAAAAGACACCGTGTATAATCATGTAGTGAAAAGAATACTTTTTTATAATGGGAACTCGACTGGCATCCTCTACCATTCGACTATGGTACT